GAGCGGTTAACTTTGAAGTCTCAGAGTTGGGTCTGGGTCGGGCTGCACGTACGTGCTTTACGTATGTGCGACGTTGAACTGCTTCCGCACCTGCACGTAGCCAACCGTGGCCAATCGGAGGTGCGGATCCCAATGCGGTTTGGTGCCAACGGTCCTCCGTTGGCTTATTGCGCGATGAATTAATGATTGATCCCGATGCAGTAATTTGCGGGAGATCTTTCAATATTAGCACGTTTGGCCAGCACCGGTCTCGCATTGTATAGTTTTGGTTTTTTTTTAGCTATGGGGGGAAACGGGAAAATTCCAACCCCTTATTTCGTGTGAGAATGTGTGTGTGTGTGTGTTTTACCTGTCTCACTTTTACATATATAATCATTCCCCCGGGAGCTATTGCGAGTGAATTATGTCCAAGTTTCTCTTTCTGTCACTTCGTGTCATGGCATTGTATCATTTGCATGGTAATGGAGAGACCGGCGTCACGAGGCCGTGGCCAGAATGCTCAAATAGACGTCTGGGTTTTGCGAGTTTTATTCTTTTTTTACTTCGCCGTGCCTGGAGGATTCATCGCTCATGTAATGAGGTGTGCTGCTCAAATGTTGTTAGAATTCCTTGAATTAGTGATATGGGTTTAAAATGAGCTTCCCGCCCCCCCCCCCACTCCCCCGTATAACCAGCATATCGCTTTCCTGTATCTGCACCACGACTGCCGAAAATAAAGGGATGCAGTTTGCATGAAAGAACAACCAAACGAGGAGACTCAATTAGACGTTTTAAATACAATGTCGCGTCTGGCTGCTGACCAGCAATGATGATGCTGATGACGACGACGGCGGAAGGGGCAGCTGATGGAAAGAACACGTCCCAGAGGATGACCGGCGTGCAGATGGAGCAATAAAACGCACGTGCAGGTGCTGGGAGGGTTGTTACATCGCGGGGTCGTGCGAGAGATGGTGACGGCTCTGGGGGGAGAGAGGGGAGCGGTGGGCTTTGATCCGGCAGTGGATTGACCGTGGCTGATGACGACGATACACAACCCGGGCTTTAGGAGTACGATTTACACGCAGTGTAGTGTCGTTTACGGCGCCGTGAATTCACGGACGTTGTTGCACGTACTCCGATGGGACGTATATTCGGGTTTGAACACTAGATGATGATATTAAAATTGTCCGACGTACTCAACTGGATGGCTGCTTGCGTTATGGCAGCACATAACGGGGTTTTTTTGCGTTAGTTTGCGTAAATATAAATGTGCCATTCAACCCGCCACCACCGGGCACAGCCAATTCGTAAGGTTTGTCACGTCAACAGGGTAAACCCACAACATTTACTATGTTGTGGGTTTACTCTCCAACAAACCAATGTGCTGAAGTAGCAATGAATTGGCGTGTTCTGTTTACGTGACAAACCTTGCTTATTGGCTGTGTCGGGTGGTGGCGAGTTTAACGACACATTTGTATTTACGCAAGCTAACAAAAACCCCCCTCTCTATTTTGGATGCTATTGGTCACGAAAGCACGCCAATCGCATTATGCCCGCCCTTAATTCTCATATTTTTTGAGAGCTGCTTTCTGCGTTCGGTTTGTTGTCCTTTCTCTCGCCCTTCCGATGTGCATGGATGGCTACGTAGGGTGTGAACGAAGTTCAAAGTACACGTACCTATCATTTGGCGGCGCAATTTCTTCACGAGCAGAAACATCTGCGGGCTCGCGCTCGCATTTTATTTTTTTGCGCAACGCCGCTCTGGACCCAGCGCCTGCTGTAGCGGTCTGGTAAAGCTGGACCGCACGGTCCGCACGGCGAGAATTCTTAAAACGTTTCCGCTTTCGCAGGAACGCCCCACGGGGGGTTGGTTGGCAACGCAGGGCAGCGGGTGGAGGGTTTACCGGAGAATTCGAGGCCGAACAGCGAGGAGGACACACCATGGTTGACGAGGGGAAAGGGCGGCAGGCGAGAGAGAGAGAAGAAGCAGAGAAAGAGCTGAGAGAGAGAGAATGGAACGAGGGCGAGCAGGGAAAGAGAGCGGAGAGGGAACGAAAGCGGAGAGAGTGAAAGCAAAGAGAGGGGGCGAGCTGAGTGAGAGAGTGGAGAGAGAGTGGAGAGAGAGCGAGAGAGAGAGAGAGCGGGAGAGAAAGTGAGCAGAGAGAGAGCGGCAGAGAGAGAGCGAGAGAGAGCGGAGAGCGAGAGAAGGGTGCCGATGAACGTTGGGTGTGGAAGAGCGGCAGTGCTCGAAGAATTTACATTCCACGCGCGACGACGGGCGCTGAACGCGCCGCTGCGCTGCGGTTCTGATTTATTTATGGAGGGCATCATTGTTTGCAGGAGGAGCCAGAACGCCTCATTCCATAATTCGAAGACCTCCATCGGGGGCATTGTCACGGAGTACATTGCCGTACGATGCAAAATGTTATCTTTTCATTCCCGTCTGTGTTTTTTAAAAGAAACCGCTCCTTTCGAACACCCTGTCTGTAATTAAGTTTGGTCCATTTATTAGTGGATCTGTGTGTGTATCCGTGTATTGCTTGTAAACGGAGGCCTTCGAGACTCAGTATCTTTGAAAAAGAGCTATATTGCTCAGTGGATTCTTCCAGTCTAAATACAGATTCTGATTCAATAGGCAGCTAAGAAATGAAATGTATATGTAGAGGGTCCAAGATGGGCATTCGTGAAGAAATATAGTCCATTTACCTCTCTATAATAAAGCCCCAAAGTCAACATCTTAAATTAGATCAATTTTTTTTTTTGATCTGGTTAAAATGACCAGCAAATGTTCTGTAAGGAGGAGCCAAGGATGTCCACGGAGGAGATGGAGCGATGAAATCGGTGTATGTGAGGGTTGCTTAGTCCATTACTACATCGCGGTATCCAACAGTAGATAAATAATTGCTGTTGCTGCTGCTGATTATGATGAATTTGCCCGAATTTAGTTTTTGACAGGACCCCCTCATATTTTAAAACAGCCAACTGGCAAAGCCTCTCCTTTTTAAAGTGGCCATTTAATAAACGTGTATTCGTTTCACCAAGCACTAAAAAAACAAAAATCCGCCCTACAGTCAGAAAAAAAAATAACTTAATAAAGCATTGTACGTTTATGTCAAAGACAAGCGTACGTGACGGTTATAGCATCCAGCCAAGGGCCTCATAGGCAGAGCGAGAGGCTCGCATTGGTAAGGTTGCGAGCTCAACTCCTGGCCGAGGGGCTTGACTCAGCCCATCATCTCTCCAGGGTCGGATAAACAAGTTCCACTTTGTTGGGAAAGCCAACCGTGCCTGTCCTGCGAATTGACTCCCCCACCCCACCCCATCACAGGATAGAACAAATCCCAACCGCTGGCTCTTGCAGGGCTGTAAACAACCTTGAGCAGCAGGCAAAGCACTGAGACTCTCTGCCGGTAAACGTCCGCAAACATTTGGAAAGCTGAAACCCGTCGCAGTCTGCCAGAGCATTGACGCAGTTCGCAGGCCGAGAGGCAGGCGGAATATATTACAACCGTGGGACGCGGTTAAGCGTGTCGTTTCTTTCAGACGGAAACAGAAATTAAAGTGACGACGCACGCCTCGGCGACTTTGTAAGCACGGATTCAAAGTGCAGCTTTGCCTGCGTGGCGCCGTTTTACTAGGCGCTTGGCCGTGGCGTAGCCGATGTCCATCGTGGCGTGTGTCCATGTTGCCTCGAACACAACCCTGCCATCTGGGAGAATCGGACGTCATTGACTCGAATCCGGATATGATCAGTCGAGCTAAATGCCCCAAACAAAAAGAACAGAGGCCCCTTATATATATTTTTTTAAAGGGCCAGAAATCGATCGAAAGGACTCTCAAGACCTAAGTCTTGACGAAGCCCTCTCGTCGTGGCCAGCAGACATTTAGCTCCTGAACCAGATTGCCGCCACCATCAAGCGCGAGAATTAGAACCAGTTTTAAGACCTTTCCGTCCACAGGAACCTTGGTACATTATTTTTGTTTGTGCAGGCAGGCTGCACATTAGGTTGGCAATGTACACTCGGGGCTTAATATCTCACTCAGTATCGTCCGGAATGCTGCTAGGCTTGGCTTGGAGTTGTGATTATCGGTGTAAGGCACTACCACTATAGCACAATGTACACCTATCCATTATAATCCTACGTTATTGTAGCATATATTGCTAGGCACCGCCCCGCAAAAGTATAATTAGGACAAAGTAAACCAGGGTTGGATGTGGAATTGCAATTTAAAATATATATATGTATTACGCTTATTAACCCAGGAAAGCCTCACTGAATCGCAAACCTCTTTTGTAGTCACGTGCTTGTAGTCTTTGTAGTGGTTGTGCGATGTCGCCGTTTTTAATCCCGAAGATTAATTTGCAGTCAATGTTTTTCAATCATTGGGATGTTGTTTGGACCAATACCAGATACATTGTGCTCTTCCGTCCAATAGTAGGGAGCCACTGGGACTGTGCACTCCTTAAATCTAGATTGAAAACTCATTCTTATGTTAGTTTGTTATCCTTTCCCCGCACCCCTCCGATTAGCGCGGTTGGCTACGCACGGTGCGAAAGAAGTTCGACGTACATTGTTCTTTGTTTGCCGCGAGGTACGAACGTTACCACTGGGCGCCACGACGTGCGAGATTTGAACTCCCTCGCCTCTTGGCAGTTCCATTCCCACCCGGACGCCTGCATATTTGGAGTTTGTTTGTCTCTTTCTCTCTCTCTCTCCCCCCGTGGTTGCGTGCATTTTTCTCCAGGTCCTCCGTTTTTTCCCCTCCCACATTTAGAAGCAACATTGTGCGTTCATTGTATTAGGCTGCTTTACATTTCCCACGTGATGATCGGCCACTTCGTTGGGCTATAATTTGTGACAGCCAGGTTGCTTCTGAAAAAAGAGTTACACAGCTCAGTGGGCCTTACGTGGTTTATATATAACAGACAAAAAAATCGCGCACCGTTGCCACCACCGCCGCACCGGTCGGTTGATGTCTGCCACTCTCTCTCTCTCTCGCGTGCCCGCTCTCCCGCGCAGACAAGCCGCGCATCTTTGCGCTGCACGCACCCCAGAGGGACCACGCCTGGTGCATCCCGTTCTCGGTGCGGGGCAACCCCATTCCCAAGCTCAGCTGGCTGTACCAGGGCGAGCCCCTCAACGAGTCCGACTTTGTGGCCACCACCTACACGGAGAAGCCGCTGTTCGAGGAGAGCCGCTCGGACGAGATCCACGGCTGCCTGACCCTCGACCTGGCGTCGCACCACGACAACGGCAACTACACGCTGGTCATCAGCAACGAGCTGGACCGCGACGTGCGCACCATCTACGCTCACTTCATGGACGCCCCAGGTGAGCGGGCGCGCGTACCTCGAGAACGCCGAACTCCCGCACCGCGAAGACTCCCGTCGCTGCCGCGAGGCATGAGCGTTTACCGCCGGCCGCCGCGTGCTCCGGCAGAAAAAATGGCCGCCACGGCGGCGAGATGTTAAATTCCCTCGCGCGGCGTGCGGGAGGCCCGTGGGTTCGACTCCGACCCTGGCGCCTGTAACGTTGGGAGTCTTCTTGTCTACGCGCCCTTCGCGGACGCACCATGTGCGCGTCGCACACCCGCGATGGCGCAACGAGAAAATCGAGCGCTCTCGCGTGGATCGTGCGCTTCTCCGTGATGAGTTTGTTGTTGTCCTTCCCCACGACCATCCGATTAGCGCGGTGGGGCTACGTACGGTGCAAAAGAAGTTCAACGTGCGTACATACATACGTGTCAAAATGGATTGCCAGCCACAATTTAAATATTGTGTTTCTTGTGAAACGGCGTGTTTTACCAGTCGCGCTTCTTATGCCGAACCTTACAACCTTGTTTTTTAATCCTTAATTGGTTAAAACTTTTAAAATAAATATTTAACATTTTAATTTATATGATTTCTTACCTTTTCAAATTCATTTGCATTATTAATTCATTTGCCTATCATGTGCCATGTCTGTCACGGAAACGGTCTGTTGTTTTTATAAATGAAACTTGACTTAAGAGCTTCTTAGCTCGCAGGGTACTTCAAAATTAACTGAAACTAAGCACGTGGGTTAGTCAAGAGAAGTAAATGTTTTGGTTGTTGGCGGTACGGAATGCCGATCTCGTGCAGCTGCGTGTACATACTTGAACTTCTTTCGCGTCGTACGTAGCCAACCGTGCCAACCAGAGGTGCGGCCGCGGTTCGAACCAATCTCTCCTGAATGCCCTTACCACCACTCCTGCCCACAACCTCCTCCCTCCACCCGAGGATGGATGAACAGAGCTCATGCATATAAATGCTTTCAGCTATAATTCATAATCCACGTTGCCTCGAACACGACGCTGCCATCTGGGCGAAACGTACGTCGTTAACTCGAACATGGTTATGATCAGTTGAGCTAAATGTCTCAAACAAAAAGAACAGAGGCCCTTATATATATTAAAGGGCCAGAAATTGTCGTAATGTGTGTCGTAAGCCCTCCTCCACCTGACACAGCCAATGAATAAACGCGTCACGTGCATCAAAAACGTGGCTAAATGAATGGCTGCTTCAGCAATGCATCGTTGTTGTTAATCTGGTCGTTGTAGAGCAAATCTCACAGCATTTGTACATGGGAACGATGTTTCGATGGAGATCAGATGCAGCATCGTCGGGTTGTGAGCAGGAGCTCAGATCTCGAGGGACAACTTTCATTCATTGACTGCGTCAGGTGGAGAAACGTGGACGAAAAACACATTTGTATTACGACCAAACCCAAAAGAATTTGATTATGAATAATAATATTGATATTCTTGGGTCTTTTGGTTAAGTCACGTAGATAGGTTCAAAGAAAATAACCAAAAACTACGACGTTTCGATTGCAACACAAGCGCTTGTGTTGCGATCGAAACGTCGTAGATTTTTTCGTTATTTTCTTTTAACCTATCTACGTGCCTTCACCGAAAGACCTAAGAATGTGAATTCCTGCAGTCACGAAAGCTTTAAGTCAAAATAATAATAATAATATATTGGTAGTGAAAGCCCACGCGTAAAGTTCCCCGTATGACTGGCTCGCTTGTGAACGTCAACTGTGTGATGTTGACAGTGAACTAACTTGGCCATAGTCAAAGTTGCTTTAAGCAGCGGCAATCTGCGGGTGGATCTCTCTCGGTTCACATTTATTTTCACCGCTATTCTTCGGCCGGCGTCTTTACTTTTTCTTTTCGAATGGCAAGATTCGTGAACTGGATTTCCATCGAGTGACTTTCACGTGTGGCGTTTCTGTTCCTTCACGCGTGAAAAAAAAAACTTTTTGGAAACTAAAAAAATTAAATGTTTGAAAAGTTTTAGCGAGGGCATTATAATGAACAAAATTTTTTTTTAATTTCTTTATTCATCATTTTTTTCTTTACAAACTGTATTCATTTTCATTTAACAGATATTCTTCCAGATGCTTATTACGGTAAGCGCCTCAGCTGTTCACACTCATTAAGCGCATTAAACCTGTGGCGTGTTTCAGCCACACTCGACATCGTGTAAAACCAAAAAACACTGTTTCTCATCGACCACAGGGTCTGTGTATTTACAGCCAATCAGCTACGTACACAGTTTGATTGCAAATTAGAGCACGGGCAATACTTTCTGAATTAGCAGCAAATACACGGCAAAGTGCATTTGTCACCCGTGCAAAAGTCTCTCGCTGTGTACATCTTGTGTAATGTGACAACCCTTATGTGCGTGTGTATATATATGTGTGCGCACGCACACACAGTGACCCAGCGGCTACATTCATTATGATGCATACATGCTGCTGCTGCTGTGTACTCTTTTATTTATTACTTTCAGAGGATTTCACGCAACCGTACAATGAAATATCGCGTGTCGGAGAGGATTCGTTTGCGGTAGGTGTCAAGATGGGTCGTAAATTTGGACCAATTAACATTTCGCACCCAACTTACCAAAACCAACCAACCAACCACCGCTATTTACATCTCACGTTTATTACAAAATACATGTCCTATTTCCGGGCAAGAACTAACGGCGTTACATGACTTGGATGTGCGATTTCTTGATGAAAGTAAAATTCTACACATTTATCACGAACACTCTCCTTAAGAGGGATATATATTTAAGGTGACGTATTGTTCAATGGCCCTTATTGATAAGGATGATTTTCTGCTGCCAATGATGATGATGTTACAGTTGTTTTGTTTGGTTTTCAGGTGTACATCGCTGTGAGCATCGCCGCGTTTGTGTGCATTCTCTTGGCCTCTCTTCTCGTCCTCATCAACAAGTACAACCTACGGAGCAAGTTTGGAATGAAAGGTAATTTTTTTTACGACGAATTAAACAAACACACACACACGGAGAACTGTGCAATCTTGATATACGATAACCTGTTTGGTCCTGCTGGTATGTGCCTAATTAATTATCAATGTCCAATTTTAATTACCTTCATATTTCTCGATATTTAAATTTTAACCAACTTTTTAACGGTGGTAGGGTGTCCCACAGGTTGGCCTACAGGCTGGCCCACAGGGTGGCCCATAGGGTGTCACACAGGCTGACATTCAGTCTGGCCCACAGGCTGGTCCACAGGTTGGGCAAAAGGATGGCCCAGAAGCTGCCCCAGAGGCCGGCCCACAGGTTGGCCCATGGGGCCACTGTATATTTGGGGTTTGCGTGTCCCTCTCTTTACCGTGGTCGCGTGGATTTTTATCCGGGTCCTCCGATTTTTCCCCTCCACATTTGAACCAACGTCACGCATTTACAGTGTTCGGCTGCTGTACGTAATAATAAGCAACTTTGTTGAGATATGATTTGTGATAGCCAGGTCGTTTATGAAAAAAAATTATCACGATATTGCTCAGTGGGCATTACCTGGCAAAATAAATTAAGACATCGGTTTATTAATGCAGTGTCGGAGGGAGCATTGTCTTGACGACACCGCTGAGATCAGGGGTTTGAATCTGGGGTTTGGTCGCCCGAAGTTTCCACTGCCTTCTCACAGGCAGCGATTTGCGAGGGACCTCAGTTGGGTCACCGATCACTGCACCCAACAACAACAACAACAACCAACAACAAATGCCCCATCGCATTAAATTCGAAATTTTCGTTCAATTAAACTATTTGCAACTCTGATAACAATGAAACACGCTGGTTTGATTAGCGTGGGATGGAACTCCTTGCCAAGCTCATTAAATACGGGCCCTTTGTGAGTTTATATATAGGCTCGTTGAATTGACTTTAGTTTTGGGATTTGAATCGAAATTGATTCACAGGGACGTTTAAGATCCCCTGATCTTCATTGGCAAAAGGAGGCCACTGTGTGCCAGGGGGGTCGGGGTTCTAAATGTTCTCAATTTAAAAAAAAGACACACCGCAAATTAGTCAATTGCGATAAATGCTCACAGCATGCAAGCAATCATCGCCCCCTACTGGCAGACCGATACCCCCAGGTCACGCTCGCAGAGAGACTCTATCCTTGTCTCTTGGATTCACACTTGATTTCACGGAATACACTCGAAAACTTGGAATGTAATTGGGTGAAAAAAAAACTCAATCCAAAACAAATTAGTTTTTTTCCAAGCTGCAAGAGTAAAAAACTAAATGTAATTAACATTTCTGCACCTCAAAGTGTAGTGAGTCCAACTGAGTCGCAGACGTTGTTCCTTTTAGAGGCAACACATTTATTTGTAACACGTAACACAAGGGGTAACTGCCCCTTTACCTGGTACAGCCTAGGGTGGTGACCACCCAGCTGACTACTCTATACAGAGGAGTTACTGCTACGAAGGGTCGAACCCTCACTCGGGTCTCCGACCACGTGTTTGCCTCGTAAGACGAAGAGCTTCTGCATGAGACGTAGAGCTTCCAGCTTGTTGGTGTTGAGCTTCCAGCTTGTAGGATGCAGCGTCCCCGGTCCCTCTCAGGGACCCGCCTTATATCCCTCTCCGGGTAGGGCCGCTCCGCCCTTGGCCCCGCCCGGCCTTCTCGAGCATTCTCGTTCCCTCTGAATCCTTCTCAAGAGCTCTCACTGGACACGTGACCACCCACTAGCCCCCCCCCCCCCCCACCTGGGGGCCCCTTGTGTGGACTCTCCGGATCACGTGTCTACGGGGTCAACCAGACAACTAGAGTGCCATGGCCCGGGGCAACCCTGCCCCTGGGCTGACGCTCATCCACTCCCCCTCGTGGCAGCCACCACCCCACGCTGTGCGGGGTGCCCGCACTATCCCAGTGCTCACCAAGCCCCGTTAGGGATGGTGTTGCACACCGCCACCCACACGGTGCTGTCCACGATGTCGGAATATCGAACGGCACCGCCCTTCCGGGCCGGCACCATACAGTGACACCCCTGATGTCACTACAAAAGCATAACTGTGGCATGACCTCAAATGCGTTCTGTTTGTTGCTGGACGTTTGGTCTTTTGGACCTCTGGGCCGAGTACTCGGCGACTGTGATAATAAAACTGACGGCGATAGCACAGCGGGAATGTAACTGGGACTGTGTCCTGGGATGTCACTTAGTGGACTAATTGCTCTTGCTGCTGTGAGGCGGAGCTTTGTATCCGTACATCGTTTTGTACGCCTCCGTTGCGATGACTTGTTTGTTTGTTGTTGTGTACCTTTTGTTTGTATGACAATTCTTGATGTGTTTACCCGTACATTTTTTTGGTACATTTTCCCACGACGGGTTTCATTTACTTAATAATAATTGCTATAAATAGGATTTAGCCCTTCATACGATTAGGCGTATAATTAATGCACATCTGTGTGAGATGCAATTAGCATGAATTACACTGTATAAAACTGAAATTATTATTATAATTGAGGGGGGGGGGGCAGAGGGGGGATGGGGGGGTGGTAAACAGCACATATAAATTACGGAGAAAAAACGATGGAACGAAAATAAATTATCTCCCCCCCTGCCCTGCCCCCCCCCCCCCACCGCATTTAAACCGTAGCCACTGCCACTTATTTCCTCGCTTTGCGAACGTGCTGGCTCGCAACCACAATGTGAGCGATGACGTTCGTCTGCGGTGAGTCAGCGTGCGCCCACCCCACCCCCCCCCCGTCGCCCCGTCGGAAAGGGTTAACGCGTCGAAAATGAGTTCGGAAAATTGATCCTCTGTTCGCCACAAGTCCGGCGTCTCGACTTACACGCACGCCCCTTCTGCAAGCAAATGAGCCTTACCAAACTGGATTACGCATCTGTTATCCGCCGCCTTCCCTCCTACACCCCCCTCCCTCGCCACCAAATAAAATGCAAATCCCATCGACAACACGACATTGGAAATCCACTCCCGCGTGCGGAGCACGTGTGCCCACGTGGGTGTCCGACGTGATTTATATGTTTGTAAAAGGAACGGTGTTTCGCGGTGCTCGGTGCACGCCAATGCTATCCTCCCGCAAACCTGTGCCCAAATTGCCTGGCTTGTGCGCAACGACCGGTGACAATCAGTAACCCAAACAGAGCCCCCCCGGTCGCGCGAGGCTAGCTTAGCATAAACAATGCGAGTCTGGCCGCGGTTTTGTCAACGCCAGCGCTGGAAAGGCAAGGGCAGCTTTGGTGTGCGCGGTGCTGATCGCAACACCCTTTAGTGTGCCGTGCGGTCCTGCGAATCAAACTTGCCCGAACAGTCTGTGGCCCTCATCCCAGCGCATGGGGGAGACCATGTCCTTGTAAGGTAACTCTGGTATGCAGGAGTTCGTGGGTTCGATCCCGACCCTGACGCCTCGAAATTTGGAGCTTGCATGCCTCTCTCTCCTCGTGATCGAGTGGATTTTTCTCCTGGTCCTCCAGGTTTTTCCCTCCACGTTTAGCATCAACATGCGTTGAGAGTATTTGGGTGCTAAACATTGTCCTTGAGCTATTATCTGTGATGGCCAGGTCGCTTCTGAAAAGGAGCTATATAGCTCAGTGGGCCTTACCTGGTAAAATGAAAAAAATATAGTTGATAGTTTAATTTAGCTCTCCGTTGGTTATTTTTGCATTTAAATTGGAGACATTTACCACTACGTGCGGGCTGGCGCCGTGGTTAGCACGGCTGAGCTGCGAACCCAGCGGGCCCCCCCCCCCCCGAGTTTGATTCACGCTCACGACTAACATCAGTGGCGAGTGAGATACCGGATCTGGTCCTGGGTTACCGCCCTCCCCCCCTAAAACCAACCTGCAATGACAAGCGTGGAGAAGTATGATGCAAACGACCCAAACACGGCCGAAGGAAGAGCTTAATCTCGAAGTCGATTGACGAAGGGCAGTGGATTGTTGGTATCAATGCCACACTGCAGTTGAATTACAGGCAGCGTCGGCGTTGTTTGGTGGTCACGTGTGCACGTGGGTGTGTACCACAGCAGCAGCTCCATCTACCCTACTCGTTTTTTATGCTTTAAAAAAAGAGATATATATATACATTCGATATCTGTTTGCTACGAGGGTTACATTGTACGGGTATCTGAAGACGATTGTAATATTTAGATAGTATGTACGTTAAATTTGTTGTTATTATTATTATTATGACAATATCCCATCCTGGCCAAAACTATTCCATGGATTCCAGAATCTCATATTAAATTACTTAGGTTAAGCCTATATGTAGATTTAACTTATTTTGCATCGTATGTAGCCAACAGTGCTATTATTTGTCATACACTGCCTCACCAGGAGAACGCAGTACAGCAATTAGACTAATCGCCATCTGTTGCTGTCTGTACGGGGATAGAGCGTTGCCCCCTCACGCAAGGCGTGTGTTCCCTCCAGGTGTTTCAGTTTCCTCCTCCCACGTGGTATAAATGGCCTGAAAACATCTTAAAAGAGAGATCCAATGTGATGCCAGGACCCTCCTGAAATATAAGACTTCCACTCAAGTGTGCCATCCTGGGTGACCAAGTAAATTACTATAATTATTCGGAGGGTCCTGCTACATTGGGGGATCTTTGGACAATTATATTAAACGAAACAATTTTTATTTTACCAGGGAAGGCCCACATTAATGAGTGTCTGGCTTCATTTGGGTGAGGGGGGTGGTGATGAACAGCGGTTGTGTGTACAGGTTGGTCCAAATGTCTTTTAACCCCCCCCCCCCCCATTTAATTGACCCTAACATTTGTTTTCTCCTTGCATATTCATTTCTGTTTTAAATATGCCTTTAACATTTTTTTTACGTTTTAGAGACTTAAATCGGGGAATCACAACACATCTGGACCACAAATCCTTTAGATCAGGGGTGGGGAACCTTTTTTTCCGCCAAGGGCCATTTGGATATTTATAACATCATTCGCGGGCCATACAAAATTATCAACTTAAAAATTAGCCTGTTATA